TCTTCCAGGACTTCCTGTGGGTCCCAGGTCAGGGGTGAGGAGGGCCTGGAGGGTAGCCACGGCCGCGGAGAGTGGGGGAGGCATTTCCTTTTCCTGAACTCTGGGATCCTGCAGGAGGAAGCTGGGGAGTTGGGCGGGGACCCAGCAGAGGAAGTGCTGACAGTGGTGGGGCTGACCCTCCCAGGAGCACTGAGCCTTCCTTAGAGACGAGCCAGGGGTGCCAGAGGCCCGGGATGAGGGGCTTGGCAGAGAGGTATTTGGGGGAAATGAGGCCTGGGGTGGAGAAGGGGCTGAGGCCTGAGTCAAGGCCGGCCCCCCTGTGGGCCCCATGCTGGGAAGGTAGCCTCTCCGGTTCACTGGGTTCCAAAAGGAGCCCATCCCTGTTGCTAGACTGGCTTATGTGCCCCGACTTGTCACCTCCCCCTTGCTTCCCACCCCCAAGTCTTCACCTGGTCCCAGCCCCTCGCCCCAGTGGGTGCAGGGAAGGGATGATGGGGCTTGGTGGTCTGGAAGCGGGCTGTGGGAGATGGTGGGGCAGGACCAGGCTGCCTCTCAGCTGGTCACCGGGCTCCTCAGGCCAAGACTAGGGGTGTCAGGGGACAGGCTTCAGGCCGCCCCCTCCACCATGTCTCCTGCTTTCCCAGGAGGCCCAAGGGGTGCTGCAGCCCAGGCCCGCGCCATGGAGTCCATGTTCGAGGATGACATCAGTATCCTGACCCAGGAAGCCCTGGGCCCCAGTGAGGTGTGGCTGGACGCCCCTGGAGACCCATCGCTGGGGGGAGACATGTGCTCCGCCTCCCACTTTGCCCTCATCACGGCCTATGGAGACATCAAGGAGCGCCTGGGGGGCCTGGAGAGGGAGAACGCCACCCTTCGGCACCGCCTCAAAGTTTATGAGATCAAGGTCAGAACTTGGAGATGATGGGGGTCTGGCTGTTTGTGTGTGTGTGACAGGAGGTGGGAGGGGGCTGCTAATGGCAGGAATTGGGGATTCAGCAGAGATTCTAGGGATCTGAAAGGGAGGTCAGGATACAGACTCTTGAAACTTGAGAATCCCCCATGAGAGGTAGGGGTGCTTTGGATGGGAACTCTGGGTAGCCCAGAGCCAATCAGGAGGTGATCAAGAGGCATACACGTTGGAGTGGCGGGCCTGGGGTCTAGAGATCTGGGGCGTGGGAAATGCCTCCAGGCCCATGGGAATTGGGATGTGCAGATCCCACTGGGGGAGGCGGGCAATGAGGCAGGTTGTAGGGAAGGGGCACAATGAGCCTGCAGCCTGGGAAGGGAGCCAGGCACCAGCTCTCCTGCCCACCATCCACAGTACCCGCTGATCAATAACTTCGGAGAGGAGCACGGCTTCTCTCTGTATGAAATCAAGGATGGCTCCCTGTTGGAGGTGGAGAAGGTCAGCCTACAGCAACGGCTCAACCAGTTCCAGCATGAGGTGAGCCCCTGGCAGGCCTCTGGGCTTTCCCTAAGCTTGCTCCAGTCAATTTCAGACACCTCCCCTACCCACCAGCCTCCGGCCTTCTGTCCCCTTGATCAGAGATGGCCATGATCCCCCTTAGGGCTGGCCACAGCTCCTCCTGCCCCTTTCCTGGTACTGGGAACGGGGGTGGGAGGCACACGGAGCTGCTCAGCCCCTAAATCAGTGATGGGCCTGACTGGCGTGCACCCCAACCCTCCGGGCCCCCATCCAGTTGCAGAAGAATAAGGAGCAGGAAGAACAGCTCGGGGAGATGATCCAGGCTTACGAGAAACTCTGTGTGGAGAAGAGCGACCTGGAGACCGAGCTTGGGGAGATGGTGAGGCCCAGGGAGCTGGGGTGGGAGAGTGTGACCCGGTTGTGTGTCACCTGTGAGTGTGCATGTGGTGTGCACCCCTCTGCGATCCCGTGTGTCTGTCCGTGAGTGTCCATTTGGCCTTGTAAGTGGGGCTGTGTGTGCCATGTCGGTTGTGAGTGACTGTGTACATACTGACCATGCAGTGTCAGGGGGTGACTGTGTGAGTGACCCTGTAGAACATTGTGTCTCTGTGTGTATGTTTGAATCTCCTGCTGGGTCTACCCTGGGCCTACAGCACTGCTCCTGGAAGGCTTTGTGGGTGAGGGCAAAGGTGACCAGAAGTGTCTGCAGCTGCTGGGATGGGTCTTGGCATGTGTGTGAATCAGGGTATGGCCATGTGTGTGTGAGCAAGTGGGCAGGGGTGAGAATCAGGAGGCACGGTCTCTGTCCACTCCTAGCTGCCACCTGGGGAAAGTCACGTAGCCTCCGTTCCTCCTCTGAAAAGCGGGGCAGGTAACTTCCCTGAGCTGTTGTGGGCATTAGTGTAAAAATGCTTCGCTTTAATAATCAAAAGCACTTATGCAGCACCTGCTAGGTGCCGGGCACCATTCTTATCTCTTTAGATAGTTAGTCATTTTCGTCCTGATGACAAACCTAAGAGGTAGGTGTGGTTGTCCCTATCTCATAGATGAGGTAGATGAAGCCAGAGTGGTTGTCGCATATGCAAATGCCCCTCAGGTGGTGTCTGGACAGGGGGCTGAGGCTTTCTGAAGTGTCCCTGTGTGTTTGGGACATGGAAGGGGCATGAACTCTGACCTTGCAAGAGGCAGTAGCCAGAAACATCTGCACTGCAGTTGCTGGGAGAGGAGCCCTCGAACTCATGGTCACTTGGAGGGTGGCGTGACCCGGCGCCTGCTCAATTTGGGGGTGATGGCTGTTCAGACAGGGCATTCGGAGGGCTCCAGGGGCACCCTGGCCCTGTGCAGACCCTCCTCCCCTTGTTTCCCACACAGCGGGCCCTGGTGGAGACCCACCTGCGGCAGATCTGTGGTTTGGAGCAGCAACTGCAGCAGCAACAGGGCCTCCAGGACACAGCGTTCTCCAGCCTGAGCCCCCCGCCGGCCCCGCCCTGCGCTGATCTGGACCTGCACTACCTGACCCTGAGGGGGGGGTCTGGCTTGAGTCACGGTAAGATCTCAGCTCCCCCTAAACTTCCCTACCCCGAACTCCCCAAGCCAAACCCCCATTTCAACACCGTTGGACACCCCCAGCTTTTCAGGTACTCAACACCCCATTATAATGCTTTGCATTTCCCCCATAATCACCCCACCTCCCCACCTGTTCCCTCACCCCATCCACTACTACCCCAATTTCTGCCATCTAAGTCCCTCTCCCGCCACCCTGGCTACCCCCATGCAATTCTCGTAGATGCCAGCAGAGGGCACCCCTGCCTGCTCTAGGTTGTGATTAGGAGAGGTCCCGAGCGTGCTCAGGGCCTTGAGTCTGGCCAGGGGAGCCCTTCAGGGGCCATCTTCTTTTTCCCTGGCCTCCAGGAAGGTTAGTAACCCAGCTCCCCCTTGCACACTGTCCTCATTCTGGTGTCTGCCCTCTAGCGTCTCTCTCGGGTCCCTCCTGCCGCAGGCCTCACCTCTCCTCTTTGTATTGGTCTGGGAGGCGGTGGAGGTGCCCAGCAGCTGGACTCAGCCTGACAGTGTGCTCTCCCCGCCCGCAGGCTGGCCAGGCCCCGCGCCCAGTGTGAGTGAGCTGGAGCGGAGGCGCCTGGAAGAGGCCCTGGAGGCTGCCCAGGGAGAGGCCCGGGGAGCTCAGCTCCGGGAAGAGCAGCTTCAGGCCGAGTGCGAGCGGCTGCAGGAGGAGCTGAAGCAGCTGCAGGAGACCCGGGCCCAGGTGAGCGACAGCGGGCACACGCCCGGGGCCCTTGCTCTGGTACCTCTGCAGCTCCGTGGAGGCCTGGGGGCTGCTGCAAATAGCATTGAGAGGTTTAAGACTCCTTCTCGGGGTACAGCCGTCCCTGGGAACGGTAGAGAAGGGGAGTCCAGACCCCATGACGTTGGCTTCAGACCTCTCCGTCTTCTCCCTTAGGATCTGGCCTCCAACCAGTCGGAGCGGGAGATGGCGTGGGTGAAGAGAGTCGGAGATGATCAGTAAGTCATGCCTGTAGTCCTCTCCCTCTTCACCTCTGAGCCCCAGCAGTGGCGTTTCCCAGGCCCTCCCTTTGATTGACGTCTTCCTTTGGCGTTGTTTTGGGGGGCCTCTCTTCCAGGCCATCAGAACTGTGGGGTTTGGGTTGCTTGTGTGACTGCATCCTTCACAGGAAGGAGGCGAGGTTCTGGGGGTGCTCGGGTTCCAGGAGGTTCCCTTTGCTTTCCTCTGGCACCCAAGGCCGTGTCTGCTCGAGGTCGTTGAGAGAGGCTGCCTCAGCAGCTTGCTGCTATGTTCTGTGCCCCTGCTGAGTTTTGGGGCCTCTCTGGGGCCAGGAACAAGGGCCAGCCAGTTCGGTGAGCCCTGCCCTCCCCTCCCTGATGAAGAGGAAGGAGATGGCTTGTTTTTTATGGGATTTATGGTGCCTCATCTGTCTCAGGAGAGAGAAAGCTGAGGCTTAGGGTTGGAGGGACTTCCTGGTGCGGGGGATTAGAATGTACTCAGCTGGGTGCCCCTCTGGAATCCTGCCAGGAAAGAAGGGAAGTGGGAAGTAGGAAGGGAGCTCTGTCCGTGAGGAGCCAGATGGTGGGGGCTTCTGGGGCAGCTCTGGGCAGCTGGGCAAGGGTGAGCGGCAGCCGGGTAGCAGTGAGCCTGATGCCTTTCAACATCCGCACCCAGCTCATCCTCTCCCACTTTCTGAGAAATAGGGTGCAAACCTCCTTCCGCCTAAGCCCTCTCCCCTGAGATGCGGTGTATGGCACAGGCTTTCTCCCTCCATTGGAGGGGAAGATGGAGGCCCAGAGGGGGGCAGCAATTCACCCTCCATCACGCAGCATACCCAGCTATAAGCCCCCGGAGGTCCTCCCCCAGCAGGCTTCCTCCTCACCTTCCTCCCAGCTTCTGGCCAGTTGGGGATCTCCTCACCTTCCTCTGTGGGGGCCTGGGTGGAGCTGTGATAGCTGGGGGGGGGGCAGCGGGGGTGAGAACACAGTTTGTGGGCCTGGTGGGTGGGACCCCTAAGCTAGGCTGCTGCGGGGCATCGAGAGGCCTCTGTGAAGAGGGTCCACCCTAGCTTGTGGCTGGGACTCAGCCCATACTCATCCGTGTGCCCCGACCCGGAACACACACACACACACACACACACACACACACACACACGAGTCTAGAATCTTCGCTTGCTCCAAAAGTCACACCGCAGGGCCCTTTATGGGTCACTGTGTCCAACCCTTCTCAGAAACCAGCAGTGAAGACGCCCCCAGGTGGTTGAACCCCGAGAGAAGACAGGGTTGTGTCGGGGCCGGAGTCTGAGCAGCCAGGCTTTGAGTCCAGGGATGCTGGGGTGCTGAGTGGCTTGGCTTTACTGACCTCACCTCTCTGGCCCAGAGGTCAGCCGTTGCTGAGAGATGCGATGAGCGGGTGAGGGCAGAGGAGGGGTGGTGGGTGCCCAGGGGCCAAGGCTGAGGGGGAGTGAGTGGAAGAGAACACCCCCCATAAAGTGCTTTTGGCATCAGGTTCTCCATCCGGCTGCTCTGGCCAGAACAGCCCCTTCTCCTTCCTCTCCCTGCACCTGCCTCGCCCAGTCCCTTTGGCCGTAAGGATGCGCTGGCCTTACCTCCCTTGCCTCCTGGCTCCTCCCCTGGGTCCCAGTGGCTCACACGCTGCCTCCGGGCCTCCTGGGCCTCCCTGCCTGCTGGCCTCACACTGGCTGGCAGGCTGGCTGTCTCTGGACAGCCCCAGCTTGGCAAGAGTTAATTACCAGAGGAAGTCCTCACTCCCCCGGCAGTTTTATTTTCTTATAAACTCAGCTCCTTGTGGTAATAGTCCGCTTCCCCGGCGATGCCTCCCCTGTCCTCCCACCTGGGGAGGCCTCAGTCACCTGTGTCGGCTCACTTTCCCCCACGACCCCTCCTCTTCTTCCTGACCCTCCAGGCTGCTGGGAATGTCACAGATGGGTTTACCCAGGAGAGGAATGCAGGGGCTGCATTATCGGGTGGGGGTGTGAACGCTAAAGAGGGGGCCCCAGAAATGTCTGCGTTCAGCCTCCTCCCATGTGGGGATCTTCTGTGTCCCCGAAAGCTTCTCACTTGTTCTCCGTTTGGACACCTCCAGGGGAGCCAGTTGTATAGTGGGGAGTCCTGGGTGTTAAAATGCACCCCTCATGCAGCTCCTGCCTCTATTAATCCTCCCACATAGGTCCTTCCTGTGCTGAGGCTGAGAGGCAGCCCAACCCCAGGGTTCCCCAGTTCCTCCCATTCCAGCCCCTGGCCCATCAGCTCTGGTCATCAGTGTTCCCAGTGGACACCCAGATCAGCCCAGACGCATCCAGGTCTGACCTCCGGGCAAGATTTCCCTGCCCTTTGGAGAGCCCCGCACCTGGTGACCGATGCCCCGGGAAACAGATGGCCCCGGGGGGAGAGCTGCAGGGGCCGCTCCGGGGCCAAAGGCTTGGGGGCCACTCGGGGAGGGGGTGGGAGTGGGGACCACCTGCTCCTGAAGGTGCCCTGGGAGGTAAGGACCCCAGGAGGGTCCCTGTCCAGGGGGAGGTGCGGAACCCACACCGTTTGCCCTCCGGGCCCAGCGCAGAGGCCCACGCTGAGGGAGGAGGGGAAATTGTGGAGAGGGGTCCTTTGGGGTCTGAGGGCTCTGAGTGAGCAGGGCTCAGTGAGGGGAACGAGGGCTCAGTGAAGGGGGGAGCTCGCTCATGAGGGGTCCGCTGTCAGAAGACGCGGGGCTCAGTGTGAGTGACGAGGGGTAAACTCTAGGCCTTTCTTCTTTCCCAACGTGGGGGGCTCAGCGTTGCAGCCTGGGCCCTTTTCCGCCCACCCCCCACGCCCCTCTCCCCGCCCACAAGCCTCTGCGTGGGCTGCGGTTAGTGGTGGGGGCGAAGTGTGAACTCGGAGAGAGAGGATGGAAACTCTGCACAGAGGTCAAGGGCAGTGTAGGGTGGGTCAGGGCGGAAGTCGGAGACCCCCGTGTACCCTGAGCTCAGCCTCATGCCCCAGAAGCAGCGGGCCCAGGGCCTCCCCCTTCACGCTTCTCACCCTCCCTACTTCCTTTCTTTCAAGTCTCCTTCAGCCAGGCACCAGCTCACAGGAATTAACCACTGAGCACTTGCAGCCCTGGCGGGCGGGCGGGCGGGCGCGGGGCAGGGCTCTGGAGTTGAGGCCCACCACTCCCACCTCACTGTGGTCTGAGGGATTGGTGGGCTTTGGACCGGTCTTGATCTGGGGCCATTTCCCTGCCAGGAAGGCAGAGGGGAGCTCTTACCACACTCTCTCCCTCCATGGGAAACTCCACATCCTCCCCTCCCTTTTCAACCCACGTCACTGAGCTGGTGTCTCCAGAAAAAGGATCAAAGTGGTCTCCCCTCCCTCACCTGTGTCCTAGGCGCTCCCCTGACCCTTCCTCCATGCCAGACGCTATGCGAGGCAATTTACCTGCAAAATTTCATTTAATTCTCACAAAAACAAAACAAAACCCCAAAACCATGTGATGAAGGCATTGTCCGCTTTTACAGCTAAGCAAACTGAGGTTCAAAGAAGTGGAGTGTACCTATCGAGCAGGTTCTGAGCAAATGGGTTTTTTTTCTGCTTCAGATCCTTCTTCAGGTTGGAGGCCCTTATATCGGAGGGGCCGGGGGATTTGTTGATCAAACCTGATCCCTGTAGCAAGTGCAAGGGGCACCGTTAGTATTTATGCTGGCGCCACCGGTGCGAACCAGGACAGTTCCGGGCAAACTGGGTTGAGCGGCCCCTCACCGAACCAGGGACCCCGGTTCCCAGCCTCTCTGTGAGCGGCTCAGCTTGGCTGCGTAGCAGAGGCGCCCAGGCACCCCGACATCTCGCTGTGCTGGAAGCATGGCAGGGCTGCCGGGCTCTGTGGACCGCAAGTCAGAGCTGGTCGAGGAGCGTGAAGGGGCGCAAGGCGCCCAAGAGGAAGTGGTGGAGCAATGGGTTGTTGCAGCGCGACTTCCTCCTCCCGCCGCGGCCTGTAACCTCAAGGCCGCTCCATGGCCGGGTGCCTGTGGTCCCCTCCCTGAGGGTCGTGTGGGAAGACTGATGCTGGGTGTGCCTGTGGGTGGTGGAAAGTTTGGTCCCTAAATTTACCCTCAGGGGGAGGTGACTGGGGGCAACTGAGGGCCGCTGTGGGCAAAGATGGGAGGGTTAGGAGGGCTGGATGTCTGTTTTCCTCCCGATCCTGAGTCAGTCAGTGATTCTGACTGACCCCATGGCCAGCTGGCCCCTGACCCCATCCCTGACCCTCATTGGATCCCATCCCTGACTCTAACTCTATCCCTTATCCGGACCCCAACTCTGTCCACAGTCCTGACCGGAAATGAACTATCAGCCCCAGCCCTAAGCTGACCCTGAGCCCAGCCTTAACCTCGACCTCAAGCCCTTCCCTCATTCTCCTCCATGACCCGGCGCGCGAACTCCAACCCTGCCACGTCCTCCAACACAGGGCGCCCAGGGGCCTCTGTGTCTCCCAGCTGGTTTGGGGCAGAAAGGCCTTTAGAGGAGGAGGACACTTCGGTCTCTAACCTCGGTAGCGTTAGCAGCAATAGTGAAGATTGTTATTGCCAGGTGGGTTCTGAGATCCCTGACTTACGCGTGGGAAGAGTGAATGAAAGGATAAGTCAATGAGGGGTGGAAAGGCTTGCTGCAGCGGGGCCCTTCTTCCTGCCAGCTCTGCCGTTTGCTCCTCGGAAGGTGCCAGCTCAGCAGGCTGAGGTGCCAAGAGCATGTTTGAATCCCGGCTCTGTGTCACCGCTGCTCGTGACCTTGGGCCAGCCTCGTACTGGTCCTGCCATTCCGCAGCCACACATGTCTAGCCCCTTCCTCTCTCCTCCCGGGGCGGCGGGGATGATGCTCAGGGCGCCCGGCCACTTTGGAGGTGTCCAGCCTCTTCCTGCTCCTCCGCTGCCATCCCGTCTCCACTGTCCCGCCCTTGCTGCTTCCTCTTGGAAGGCAGAGTATAGCAGAGCGGTCAGTAGTCTGGACTCCGGAGTCCAGGAGGCCAGAGCTCCCATTCCAGCAACTCCATTACTCCTCAGGTTTCTGACTTTGGTCAAAGACTTAACCTCTGGGAACCTCCATTTCCTCATTGGTAAGATGAAACACTGTAAGGTGGTTGTGAAGATTAAGCAAAGTTCCCAGCACAATGCCTGGCCTGTGATGAGCGCTCATACAGGTGATTTGTGATTCTCCTCTCCCTGGGTTCCTCCCAGGTTCCGAGAGACTCGGAACGTCCCCATAGTTTAAGCCATAAAGAAGCACCCGAATGTTGTTCACCTACATGCTTCCCGACCAGCCTTGATAGTGGAAAGTAGCAGGGCCAGGAAGCCAGGAAACAAAGTGCCTTCAGGTGTACGTGTGTGACTCTTGGTTGTGTTGTGAAGTTGAGATTTTTTTTCCCACTGAATTGGCAATGTTTTCTAATGTGAGTCATTCGGGTCCTTAGCGTATTTCGCCGCCTGGCTGTGTGCATCTTGGGGTAGGGAGATGTCACCCAATGAAGGCAGCGGTCCCAAAGGGTCATAGGGCATCAGGGGTTGGCTCCGACCGCCTGGCCAGGTCTCAGGTCTCAGGTCTCTGGGAAGGCTGCCAGGGGTTCCAGCAGGACAGCCCCTGCCTGCTCCAGGCGCCCAGATCAGAGCTGTGAGGGCTGGACATTCTGGGCCAGGGCCGCCTTTCTTCCATTTCCTGCTGCTCTGTCTGTCTGGTTGTGAGGAGGCTGCCAGAAGCTGGGCCTGGAAACTGGGCTGGCTCCTGACAAGGGGAGGAAGGCAAGTAGGGGAGAGATGGGGGCCTGGGAAGGAGGGTGGCAGGTGAGATCTCCCAGGCGGGGTGTGAAGGCAGCGACCTGCATCTGTCACCTGAGATACAGCAGGGGCTGCGGACGGGGAGAGAAATGGTGGCTGCTTGGTCAGAGGAGGACGCTCCTCCGAATCACTGCCCTGCCCTGAACCCCTCCCATCCCCCCACTGCGGGGGGGGGCATGGTCCTTCGATAGCCCCCTGTTTGATGGGGGAGACACAGCTCCTGCCCTCAGACTTCCCCAGGTCTGAAGCAGGTAGCCTCCCACCGGGGAGTCCCCACGTTAGTGTGGGACACACAGACTGGACCTCCAGTCTGGCAGGGCAGATGGCGTTGTCCCCACAGGCCCACAGGCTGAGTGGGTGGACACAGGACACATTTAGCCAACACAGGGGTTGCAGCCCTTCAGCGAGGGTTTCCGAAAGGACCCTCCTTCCTCCATCTCGGCCCACCACCTGATGGGCGGGTGAGCGATCTCCCTCCCTAAGAGGGAGCCTTGTCCCCCGAGAACCCCAGCCTGTTGGCAATAATTTTGTTTTGACCCAAAAATAGTTTTGTTGTGGGAGGCGCCATTGTCTCCCCTACCACCCAGCTCTAGTAAGAGAGCCAGCCAGTGAGCGGAGAGTGAGAGTGAGGGAGCGCAGTCACTGCCTACCCTGCACCTCGGCTTTTCCTGCCCTCTGAAGCCCTAACCTCACGACTTCCCCTCCTCTCCTCTGGGGCCACTCACTCACTCTCACACCGTTCCTCACACTCACCGTACTGGCCTCACCCCTCCCTCCGCTCCCTCCCATCCACATCCATCCTCTCTCACATGCCCGTATGGTGGGATGGGGCAGGGCCTGAGTGAAGGTCTGGAGAAGTCCCGTCTCATTCCTGCCCAGGGCCCTTCAGCTCCTGGGGCCAAAGGGCCTCCCCTGGGAAGTGACCCACCTGGCGTGGCTGTGCCTCAGCCCGCCCCTTCCCTCCAGCCCCAGAGCCCCTTCTGGATTTGGTACGGTATGGGGGATGCAAGAGAACCCAAACCCCGGCCTCCCGGACTCTGTCCATGCCCAGGCCGGAAGGCAGGGACCCCAGGCCATGGCAGAGCCTCGCGTGAGGTCAGGACGGTCTCTCTGGGGCCAGCAGGCCAGGGTGGGGGCAAGGGGAGGGGCAGCGCTGACAGTGATCGGAGGTTCTGGGTCAAAGTGACCTAAAGAGAGAGGAACAAGGGAAGTAGGTGAGGTCTTTGCCAAGTTCACAGTCGGTTCCAGCTTCGTGAGGGCGGGTGCCCAGAGAGCCGAGCAGGAAGTGGAAGAAGAAAGAAAAATGGATGGAAAGGCTCAACTCACTCTCCATGTCCTGGGTCCCAGGCCCTGGGCAAGGTGCTAGGAATAGGAATGCAGTGATAGCGTTTCCACCTTCCAGGAGCTCCCAGGGAAGTTCCAGAACCAGGCAACTTCGATAGGTTTTCAGTGTGAGTGGTGCCCCCTGGAGGTGAGAGGGGCACAGCCCTGTGTTCCCAGAGATCTCTGAGTAGAGGGCTCCCTCAGAGGCAGCTTAGAGAGGAGGCAAGGGACCTGGACCCGGAACCGGAACCGGGCAGACTTGGGCTCCCCAGGAGGCCATGCCCTGCACTTCCAGAAGGGGGCTTGTCATGGGCCGTGCATCCGTGGTCCCCAACCTCTCACAGCCGAGGGCTCTTCGTGGACCCCCTGCCCGAAGCCCACGGATTGCGCTTCCACTTGTCGTAGGTGCTCTCTGGGAAAACGCACGAGAGCTACTGTCGGTTCCGTGTGGCTTTTGATGAATCTGTGTTTTATCTGTCACCACAGCGTCTGCACAGATTGGAAAAACACACATACCTGTGTGAGGTCTGTCCAGACGCACGCAGTGCCTGGCGACACCTGGACTCAGGGACCCCCGGGCATCACTGAGCTCCCAGCCCAGCCCACAGTCTGGGAACCACTGCCCAGCCCCAGGGACCATCCGCTGGGGGGAGAGGGAGGCTCCCTGGAACCAGGTGGCATTGAAATCGGGGTCGGAGGGCCCAGGAGCGGGGAGAGGGCCAGTTCTTGCTCCACAGCCGGGACAGGAAACCCACTTTCCTCCTCTCCCCTGCTCCCTGCCCTCTGACCTCAGGGTCAGGGTAGGCGGGGGCCAGGCCGTGACCTGGGGGGACTGGGGTGTCCTTCAGGGTGAACCTGGCGCTGGCGTACACGGAGCTGACGGAGGAGCTGGGCCGGCTGCGGGAGCTGAGCGCGCTGCAGGGGCGGATCCTGAGGACGCTGCTGCAGGAGCAGACGAGGAGCGGCGGTGAGAGGGGCCGGGCAGGGGCCGGGGCTGGGCCCCGGGCGGGGGAGCTCCGGAGCCATCCCGCGGCCGGGCCACCCTCCGCTCCCTTCCCTCCCAGGCCCGATGCTCTTCCCTGCGCGAGGAGGAGGTGGGTGGGGGGCTTTGGTGGCCAGCGGCCCCGGCCCCCAGTTCTGACCTC